AAGTAAACATGACATTTGTTTCTATCCTTCTTGAATCTATCAATATATTGTTTTGTAGACTCATTTGACTTGTGTCTTAATCTTGACAAATCTGTTGTTGACACTTTTTGTTCGTTTCTAAAGAACTGAGCATGAAATTGCTCTTCCATGTCCTACCATGTTCAGATTAAATTAACAGGCAAATTTATGAACTAGAAAAAGGTTGTTCTGGTTAGTGATTATGGGAATAACTTCATTTTTAAATTCTCATTGTCCCCAACTTCCTCACATTAGAAAGTAAACTTTCTCACATGTTCTATCGCGGATTGATTCTCTTTGTCAGAGAAGAGATGGAACTCTAGGATCTTTTATCCACTTGGAATTCCTCATAATCAACCCATGGTGGGTAAGGTTTTCTAAACACGTGTCTCTCTATTTTTCTAAGTCTAGGACCATAAAGGTCTTAAATCATATATATTAGTTGGATTCTATTGAAAGCCATATTCTGGTGGCCTTCACTGTGCTCAACTTGATCGAAAAGGTTGCCCCCTGATCTTGGATTAAGTTCCTCTATGGGTTCCATTGGAGGCATGGCATGCCTCTCATGTCCTCTTCTAAGAAACTCAAGGGCCATTCTTTCACATAAGATTTCTCTCTAGGAAGAAATTTGAGAATACTTCAGCAGACTCCTCATCGAACACCATGTTAAAGTGGTTTTGGTGTGACAAACCTAGTGTTTCATTAATTGCTACTGTTGGTGGTCTTTGGTTTTCTATAGGGAACACCACAAAATTGGTGTTTCTTTCCTCCACCACTTGGTTTCCTAAATATAAAATTTTATTTTTGATTAATTGGTCTTGTCATTGGTGTCTGGACATTCATCAAGTCATGCAAAGCATTAACTAACTTTTGTCTAATGCCAGAATTGGGATTGTACAGTACCTGTTTTAAATTTTGCACAAACTCTTGCATCTGTACACTATCTTGGCTATTGGATTTGCCACTCCTAGGATTTATAGCCTCCACTAGATTAGTACTCGAACTTGCTTCATAATTACCACTTGTTGGCTTCATTTCCACAGTTTCATTAGCCCCAAACACAATTTCATATTTTGTCCTCATTCTCACCATTTTCCTTAATCCAAATTAGGAATGTTGTCCCACCAAACGTACCAAAAGATTGTATTGTTATCGACAGAGGGGACATAATCGACAAACAGTTTTCAAGCGATTGCTAGTGATGGGTTCAATTGTCTTATTTTAGGACTTCTTTGGATGAAATTTAAAGCAATAAACACACAAAATTGTGAACTAATAAAATAGAATCCCTTTTATTAATTCAATTGAAGGTTTTTCAATTACAAAAAGACTACATTAACAACTTTGATTACAGCAGTAACTACTTCGTAAAACTAACTTAGCACTTCCTAAAAATGTTCAGACCGTGGGTCTTGTGAGGGTTTGAATGTTTGTTTCAATTTCCTCCTTCTTTGTTTTTTGTTGCCACTATGTTCGACAGTTTCATCTCCATTGACACTTAAGGATGGTAGTGGACCAAGTAAAAATGGGTATTCGTCCAAACTCACCCCGTTTGGATCAGTGATGGACCATACATATTGGATGGTGGATGTATATGGGAATACCAGTATAAATCCGTGCGAAGATGAAAACATAGATGAACTGACACTTACCCCCGCCCCGCCTTGCTTTATCCGTTATTATTATTATTATTATTATTATTATTATTATTATTATTATATATCAATGTTATCAAAACTGGGACCGGCCATCAAAGCGGTAAGGGAACAGGATTAATGGTTCACTGATTCAACCGTTGAGTCAACTGATTGGATCATTCATATAATAAAAAAATAAAAATATATATAATAATTACAAAACATAATAATTTAGCTAAAAAATTGAAATATATCTACAATGCATACACATAATATTCACAATCTCATGACAAATAATATTCACAATCTCAATTCATAAACCCACAATCTCAATATCATAAATCCCACAACACTCAATATCACAATCCCACAGTACGAAATGTTTGCTACATAAATAATCTAATTGACAAACTAATTTTGGAGGTCCAATTGTCAGAGACAGAGAGAATATGAAGATATTTTTGGAGGTCCAATTCTCATACCAAACTACCCAATTCAGCAAAGAAATTAAGGCAAATTTCAGAGAGAGAGAGAGAATACTGACTTATTGAGTGATCGCCTGAGTTGATCGATGGACCGTTGAAGGCTTGAAGTGTTCTAGTGGTAGCCTGAGTTGAAGGCTTGAAAGTTGAAGCTTCTCATCGCTTGAGTCAGAGACATTGATTGAGTGAGAAGGATTGAGCTTCCCTGGGCTTCTGTTCCTTGCGTGAGAGTTGAGTGGCCGCTTGAGTGCTCACCTAAGTGATGAGTGGTGAGTGGTGGCCTGAGTGGCCACTGATCTACGGAGTGTGAAAATGGGGGTGGGGAATTTGCGATTGATTTAGGGCAAAAATGGGCCAAAAAAGGATTTATATATATGTATATAATATGTGAAATTTTAATCATCTGGTTTATGATTTTGATCCAAAATTGGTCGATTTAGCGATTTTCAGCAGGTTTACTTCCTTAAGTGGTCTAACTACATAACTGAACTGTTTTAGGACCCGATTCACGATTCAACTGATCTAACCGGCCGGTCCGATTCGGTTTTAATAACATTGATATATGTAATTGTGTTTTTATGTTTTTTTTATGTTAGATTATGTTATATTACGTTGTATGATGTTGTGTTGGATTTATATGAGAGATAATCTTTTTATTATATTATATTGGATAATGTTGTAGAGAAGATTTTGATTATATTATGTTGGATTAAGTTGTAGATGATAAACTTTTAATTATGTTATGATATTATATAATCATGTTGAATTATTTATTTAGCATTTTGGATTATGTTGACTTGGGCTTGGGCTTGGGAGGAGGCGGTGGACGGGGGCGGAGGCGATGGACAGGGCGGGGGTAGGAATTATAAATTTATCCGTGGACGGAGATGTGATGAAAACTATACATGTTATCGGGGGTGGACCGGGAATGGACAGTATTTTTTTAAGCTGGTACGAGGATGGACTGTCATCCCTATCAACAGTTATCTAAATTATAACTTTCAGATAGTTATTCTTCTTTCAAATTAAACTGTGTCTAACCATCTCTAATTTTTTTTCAGATTCTACCATGTGACCTAATTTTTTATATCCCTCAATTTGCAAGGTATTGGTGTATCGGATATTTTTATAATTTTATATTTTAGGCTCAAGCATTTTAACTTTTACACACAATTAAATTTGTACCAAAAATAATTTTTTAATATGATATCAAAAAAGTTAGATGGATGTACCATGGAGAAGACCATTTCGACGGGATTCTTTGTAATGTTCCAACCCACTTATATCCCAGATTCATTAAGAACCATCATTTCGTGTTGCCATTTTCCTCGCTGTGAAACACATTCCCCGATTCTAATGAACTGATAGGCCCGTAAAAAGACAAAGTTATTACTTTCCAAAGCTCATCACTGGTTCGGCATTTTTGGAGAGAATGACTTGTCCTTGGCTAAAAACAGATAGAGGGTAGGACCACCAACTCAAAAACACCTTTTATAATTCCTTCGCTTGCTTCCATGTTAAGTGGAGCAGGCAGAGTCTGTGCCAGATCAAAACAAAAGCTCACACAGTGTACAAATAATGGCTTAACAAAGAAGCGTTTTTTGATGGGCAAGCTGTATACTATAGTACATAAAAGATTTTGGAGGGGACCCATTTTTAAAAGAAAAATGCTATGTATACCAAAAATTTTATCAAATGAGTTAGTAATTCTAGATCATTCTTAGACCTACCAAATGCTGATCAATATGTTTTTGATTAGATATTGAGTTGCCAACTCATTAAATAAATTCATTTTTTTTATAAATATTTTGATAAGTATAGCATTACTCTTTTTCAAAAAATGGAAACTGTAAGGCGGTGTTTAGTTTGGTTTGGTTTGGATTGGAAGGTTGGGAAAGTAAAGGAAATTAAAAAGAGAAAAGGAGAGGAAAACATGAGGCTGGTTGATTTGGAAAGAAAAAGTGAGAAAGGGAAATATGGTAGTTAAAAATGTTAATGGATGATATCAGTGGACCCAAATAAGAAAAAGAAATTTTTAGAAAAGAAAAATGTTAGATAATTTGAATGAAATTAAAAATTAAAACTCAAATGAATATCATTTTTTAGATGAGTATGGGATGAATGGATCCCACTAAAAAAATTAATGAGATCCACTCATCTAAGATATGATATGCATTTGGGTCACAATTTTTTGGTTTTATTTGAATTTTGTAACATTGTATTTTAAAAAAATGGTTAGCTACAACAAAAAAAAAAAAAAAAAACCTATAATTATGGGCAAAAACAGATAATCTCTCTCAACTTTCAACTTTAAAAATGTTCAAGGGGTTTGGGTCCAATTGAGAGATAACAGAGATAATCTCATTTTTTATTTTAAGATTTGTAATTGTTCAATTCAGATTTCACACAAAACACGCATTGTCGGATTTCATTACTGTAACTTATTTTTGAGTTCAAAATGATTTAGTGCAAATATTAGAAATTGAGGAATGTAATCAGATGCTTCCTCTAAATACTTCTGTTTTTCATTTTGTTGGTTGCTTAAATCAAACTAAATTAAACTAAATCGAACCAAACCAATGTTAATCTTTTTGCTGTAGTCTTTGAACTTGTACTGGATGAGGCTGGGATTTTTTGGGACACCATCGACAATGACTTTCATCAAATCTGCCCCATCACTAAATGAATGGTCAGGGGACGCAAAGAGAGCAGCAGAGAGAGACCCATGGGGCATGGGGAAGCAGGCAAGTGGATGGGTGGGGGACACATCAAACTCATCAAAACTCTTTGAATAATTGAGTGATGACAAAAAAGTGTATGGGATAGAAAAAGCAAAAATGCGAAGGGCCACCCCCCCCCCCCCCCCTCTCTCTCTCTCTCTCTCTCTCTCTCAACTGTTACTGGAAATTTGGTACCACATTGCTCAATGTCATGTAAAGACCAACAGTCGCTAGTCAAGAAACCAGGCATAAATACTACAGGTCTTCACAGGTTTTTCTATTTGGGCGTGACTCTCTATTTTGTTCTTCTCTCTTCTCAGTTCTTGAAGATGCCTAGGCCAGGCCCGAGACCCTATGAGTGTGTTAGGAGAGCTTGGCACAGTGATAGACACCAACCCATGAGAGGCTCTCTCATTCAAGAGATTTTCAGGTACTCAAATCTCTCAATACCCATGTCAAAAAATATTATATGTCTGTGATTGTCGTTCTGTTTCTTATTTATTACATGTCTATGGTTAGGGTTGTGAATGATATTCATAGTTCAGCAACAAAAAAGAACGAGGAATGGCAAGAGAAGCTCCCTGTTGTTGTCCTAAAAGCTGAAGAAATTTTGTACTCCAAAGCTAATTCTGAGGTTTGTTTTCTTTACTCATCAGCTATTCTCAATTTACTCAACATTGGTTCATAGTTGAGAATTTGGCTTTTGTTCTTGTTTACTTGTATTCCCTTGCTTAGGCCGAGTATATGGATCTTGCTACTCTTTGGGACAGAGCAAATGATGCCATTAACACAATAGTTAGACGAGATGAGAGTACTGAAACTGGAGACCTTTTACTGCCTTGTATTGAAGGTATCCATTCAAATTTCTCTGTTCTTGTAAAGCTTGATTCTTGGAATCCAAATGGGTTGTATTTCTGCCAGTAGATATTTGCCATTTTGGATATATGATTGTTTATTTGTCTATTTGTAAATGCATAAGCCGGATAGTAGTGTACATCTGGTCAATGTGTGAATTGGAAGTGTGTTTTCAAAACTCGCCTTTTCAAAGCGTGTTTACTTTCATGAAAGCAATGGTTGATGTAAAGTGATAATTGATTCTGATTCACACTTGTTTTGTCGTGCAGCTTCGTATTTTTCTGTTAATTTGATTTTTGGGTTTTTACATATAAATGTGTTTCCTTCTATCTTTTAGTTGTTATAGCCTATGAAAAGGGGTTAGGAGAGTTTATTTCTAACAAATTTTCCATTTAGCAATTCATTTTGGCAATGTATTGAATTAGCCTTGAATGTTTTTTTCCTTTTTAGTTATACACAGTATTAGTTTCAATTGTTGATAATCTATGTGCAATTTTCTTCTTCCAATTTGCTTAGCTGCTCTCCATCTAGGCTGCACTCCAAGAAGAGCATCAAGGAGCCAACGGAACATCACTCCCGGTTGTTATCTTAGTGCTAGCACTTCAGAGGTAGCCTCTGTTCCTACCACCAATTTAGAGAGTACAAGTCAGGGAAATTATACAACCAATGGCCAATTATTTTCTCATTATTCAAGCTTCATGAAGCCAGTTATGATGACTTCCAACCGCTTTATCTCAGAGTCTCATAACTGCGTTACCCCAAACAATAGTTTCCCCCGTTACAAATATCCATCATTGCCTGAGAAGTTTCCTCTCTTTGGTGATCATCAACGATCACCTAAGAAAACAAAATATTCATCCAACTCGTATTCAGTTTATCCATTATATTATGAAAGCCAACTCCAATTTAATTTTGGTAACCTTTCCAAGACAATTTCTCTCTCCACAAGGCCTAGTGAGATGGATGCCACAACAAAGCTTTCCTCTGACAGAGTGGATGCTTCTAATGCGATTACTCAGTTAGATCTCGGAGACACATCTGAGAACCCGCCTGTACTTGGCTGCGATTTATCATTGCGATTGGGCCCTTCTGCGGTTCCATGCATAAGCATCGAAAACAGTTGGCCTCAAGAGGTTGAAGATGTTGATTCGAGTGCTTCTCAAGAGGGAAACAAGTATAGTGATCTCCCTCCACCAATGAATAAAGACTTCTCTTTCTTCCTTGAGGTAAATGCTGATGAGGCCTTAGAATCCTGTTTATGTAAAGAGGAACTGAGAACGAAATTTTGAATGTAGAGGCAACTATAAGAAAAAGGAAAGCAGTCCTCAACTATCCAGCCAATGACAAACAATTTTTTTGGCAGTCAAAGCTTCCATTTAGCGACTTCAGTGGAAAGACGAGCAATGCAGACTAGCAAATTGACTTCTGCTTCTGTAGTTTCCTTTACAATTATGGAATGGTGAAGCAAATACCTATTGCTGTAGCCTTCTTGCAATCTTCTTGTACTTGGCGGTTATGTCTCTCATTAACTTATTGATGAGTTGCTTGTTGTAATGTTGCAATATTTCCAGTGTAAATACTGGTTGAGTTTGAATATGAATAAATAAATATTAGATTTGACCTAACGCGTATAATTATGGTGTTATCTACTTAGGTAGTTGAATCCAAAATTTTCCTGATATGGTGACCCATATAAGAACATGAAAGGAAACCTGACGCAGGAATGCCTGTGCCAAGGATGGTATATGAGTTAAAAGGGAACTTAACAAGATTGATTTGAAGTTGAGGCTTATGAAGGAGGACGTTCAACGGATGAAGTTTGAAGTGGAAATGCCAAAGCTAGTGCTGTAAGTTGGATGTGTAGGAGGATGTTCAAGATGTCACAAACTACTGGAATTTACACGATGACTATGAGAAGTCAAGCTGAGGATAGAGATTTAACATGATGTGAAATTGTTATATCTAGGGAGCTCATTTGAAGATCTTAACCGGCTGTCATTAAGCTAAGTAAGAATTTTCTAAGCTTCAATTTCAGTGCATTACTTCTTTTCTTTCTAAACCAAATGTCAACAATGATTTTATGAACTGCATGTAGATAAGGTGTGTGGATCTGTGTGAAAATGCTGGATTTGCATGAAGGTATAGTTCTAAGCCTATTAAAGCAATTGTTTGCACTAGAAGTTCTTTGGGTACTAATTTCTTTGTATTGTACAGTCTGAAGTTTTTTTTTCTAAATTGGTGGTTGCATTGAGACACCAGATTCACAAGGCCTTGGCTGCTGTTCTTTGCATACCTCGTTTGTATGGATCCTCCAGGTATAAGCTGGTAGTGTAGTTGTTTATGCTTCATCCTAATGTCAAAACTGAATGCTACATTTCTGAAGTTTTCCAAAAGGAGTGAAGATCCTCTTTGCCTATGCTTTACTGCTAGAAGAACAACCCGTGGGCAAGCAGCCCAGTGAAGTGGTGTTAACATAAACTAGGACAACTTGGATTTGATGCTTGTCAGCGACTCTCGGGTTTAATAAGTGCTTGCTATTAGCAGGTGATCGCTAGTATCTAAGATTTATTTTGAAGTGGTAGGTCAAATATGACTTGCCTTGGCAGGGTTGCTCATCACAAAGAAAAAAAATCTAGAAGAAACTAGTTATCATTTAATGGGATTTAGTTTCATTGGACCATACCTTATTCGATGTACTTGGGAGGTGGGGATGAAATTTGGGATCGGATTTCTTGTTTGTTGAGTGGGGTGCAAACAATTACATTTATTCAGAATCAAAATGTGATACCTTGAGTCAGTATGGTTGGGGTTTGTGGACCCTATTACTTTTTCAGTGGGAAAGTACTTGTGGAAGACTGAATAGGTTTGTGCTTATGAGTGGTGGCTAATGCTTGTGGTATCTTTGGTTGTGCATGAATCATACATTTGAGTCAGAGCATGATCTGGACCTCCATGATTTCTACCCTACATGTAAGTGTGTAACCCTACATGTAACAATGTAAGCTATGTCGAGTTATTGTTCTTGATTGCCTGTTTGGCTTTGCATTCTGCCTGAGAGAGAGAGAGAGAGAGAGAGAGAGTTATGAGACAATTGATGTAGGCGATAAAAAACATGAGTATGTAAGTGGAAGATGATAAGAAATCGAGCCTAGAGTGATGACTGATGTTCATCCCTTTATGTGACATGTCGTTGATTTGATTATGAAAATTAATCTCTCAAAAAATGGAGTCAAAGTTGTTTATTTACCCTTTTTTGGACTCTAGATAAACAAATACAAACCTTTTTCGTAAATTGAACGACACCTGCTCTAAAGTAGTAGCAAATCTACACAAGAGAAGAGGACTTGATATCAAATGAGAATTAGTAATTATTATATTTTTATTTTTATTTTTATTATTTATTTTGAATGAGAGTATGTTTAGGAAATATTCACCATTTAGATAATGTCAATTTTTCTAATTTCAGTATACATGTATTTTATTTGTTTTTAATAACCGTTCTTAGAGCAACTCCAAAGGGAGTTGTTATTTTGGATTGACAAATCACTCATTTGTAATCTTGAATAGTGTTTTGGCATTCCTAAATTATAAATCTACTCTAATGGCAGGTTCCAAAGTGGGGTGTTATTTTAATATTTTTATATTTCAATTTCAAGTTATAATTTCAATTTTACAAATATTTTCAAAGTAATCAAACTTAATACATAGTTTTTCACAAATAATAGCAACATAATAAATAATGACTAAAAATTAAAAAATAATAACAACATAATAAATAACGTCTAAAAATTAAAACACCACTTTTTCATAATCTCTATCTTGAGGTTATTCTAATATGTTGCAGAAATTGAGTCCATTCTAGTAATATTAGTTTCCATGATTTTTATTTCGTTCCGCATCTCATTCTGCCTTTAAATTTCTTGCATCCGTCTTTCTTCAATTTTTAATTGTTTACGATGTTGCTCCAATGCTATCTCCTGTTGAGCATAAATTTTGTCGTGCCGCTCAACTTTTGGTCATTTCACTTCCATTTTTTGATTCCAGTGGTGATGATCCAGTGATGCTTCAACACTGGTTTGTTTTTCTTTGTTTTTAAGTTATTTCTTCGAAGCCTTTCTGCTCAATGACCTATCGAGGTTGAGAGTGGACGAGGGTTCAGTGTCATCCCTTAAATATAGAGTTAAATAAGAAGATTCAACATAATTTGATTCAATATGACTACCAGTTGAATGGGTTTTTGCTCTCTTATTGGTGGTGAGATTATCGATCAATTTTTGCTCTATTTTCAATATATTCCAATAATGCTCATATTGAATTGGTCTTCCAATGATCTTAGGAAACATTTGTTTTATTTCATCAACCTGAAAAACATATGAAATCATTCGGTCAATATTTTAAATATCAAATCATAGTAATATATATCTAAAAAAACTTAATCATTACATTATTTTGCTAAGTGTGTCTATTTTGTCGCAGTCTTTCAATTTGACTATAAAAACAAACAAATTTACTGCATTTTGCATTTATATCAGTCAAACGACTCTTAATAGAAGCTTGTGAACGCTCTTTTTCATTGCCTTCATGAAGTTTTAAATATTTCAATATTCTATACCAGAAAGCATCATTTTGTTGTTCATTTTTAGTAATTGCATCTTTATTCATGTTAAGCCACACAGACACAATTAATTTATTTTCTTCTAGAGAGAAGTTCTTTGTCCTTTACGATTTTTTCACTCTTAGAGTGACTTTATTTTGTACTAGCGTCAATACTGTTGGATTGGTCTGCACAACATTATGATATAAATCGGTGTTGTTCATAAGCAAATCAGTGAAAGAACTGTCAAATTAGGAATTCATTTATAGAAAAAATAATTATAATCAATTTAAAGAATAAGCATAAAATAATCAATAAAAAAATAAATAAAATCACCCTTAAATTAAAACAAATTATAAATTAAATTTGTCATCCCCTTCTTTATAAATTAAAACAAATTTATAAATTATAAATTACCCTTGTCTTTCTCCAAAATCATTCTTCAGATCCCCTTCTCCAAAATCACTCCCCAAAATTGCGCTTCCTCTCATTCTCCAAAATTACACTTCCCTCCCCATTCATCTCTCACTGTCTTTCTCCAAAATCACTCCCCATATCCCCTTCTCCAAAATCACTCCCCAAAATCACGCTTCCCTCCCCTTCTCCAAAATCATGCTTCCCTCCCCCTTTGTCTCTCTTTATCTTTCTCTCCCTCCCATGTTTCCTCCCTCTCTTTGTCGGTGAAAGCCATGCACAGTCACATCCTAATCGTCCCAATTCTCTCCCTTATCGCCCTAGTGCACACCCTAATTGACCCATATACCCACAAAGTTACAACAATTTTCACGACAAGCTTTGGTAAGTTTTTTCTTTCAAAATCTTTGTATTTATAGAAATTTTTTGTTGAATAGAGCCGTTAAAATTTAATAGTAGAATATGAAAATTGTTGTTGGACGTTGAGCTTTGCAACCTCTTTCTTTCTCTCTCCAAAGTTACCAAAAATATCACCTCAAGACCATTGATGTCATTTTTCAACCCTTAATGTCATCCCTATTAGAGTGAAAAATTTTGAATTTGGGATGCTATTTTGGCAGTTATGAGGTTGCCACTTCCCATTGAAGTTTCTCTTAGACTAAAGATTTAGTTATGTTTTAAAAAACTTTAGGTGTTTGGGAAATCTTATATATAGCCTCCTATGTTCTAGGGTTAAATCAAGTCAATAATACAATACTTTTTGAAATTTTCTCTTCATTTCTCTGTGGATTCAGAGGGACGGTGATATTTGTGTTTTCTCGTTCATTGCTGCGTCAGGACTGCAGCCCAGATGCACGTTAAATCATTGGTATTTCTATTGGTCTTAGATGGGTGAAACCAATATTGGCTATGATTTATGGAAAGGCTAGGGATCACATGGTGTGACCACTCAATCCATGGGCCAATATTTTCTTGCTCTTTCATATGGAAAATGGTACCATCGAAGGCATGGCGTTGAAGAAGGGATGTGGGTGAGGCTGAACCTATGGATTTGATTTTGAAGAGATTCTACCAAGGAAAAGAAGTGAGTATGTCAATATTCAATGGAGTCCTTGTTTTCTTTCGGGATTTGTTATTGCTGAGCAAACAATCAATTCCTTCAATAACATTTTCCCAAAAGTAGGTGACAAGTACACTACAAGCACGGGTTGATTCATTAGAAAAGAAAGAAAACACTACAGAAAGAAGAGCATTCATGCCTCGGTATGCAATAAAAGAGGTAATGAACTTCTGGAAATTTGCAATTTGTGAATAAAATGGTAAGTCATCACTTGACTATCATTGGGCCACAAAAGTAGGGTTGACAGTGCAGTGTGTCATGTTTCCTTGGGAAGAAATCTCAATCCATGTACAAGAACCCAAAACACATTGAGGAATAGAATGGGAACAATAAAAGTTGATTCTACAAATGAATTTTTAGTGTTGTGACGGGCCAAAGCCAATGTGAAATTCTCTTTCTTGTAATTTTTTTGGCCCAACCCAACATGAACCCTTCATTAAATGGAAGGTTAAAGAAAACTCTTCCCCCCCCCCCCCCCCCGGTTC